TTACCGTGAACGGTATGATATAGCCCAGACCTGTAGACCAGACCTCTAAAATAATTTTTAGAGTTTCATTTGAATGTTCATGTAAATATGTGGACTTTGAGAAGTTGTATAATGCTCGCTGGGCAGCATAGTGGCCTCACAGCAAAAAGATCCTCAGTTTGACTCCACCATCTATGTGCATCTATGCAACTCTATGTAAGATTTGCACATGGAGTTTGAGTGGGTTCTCTCCAGGTACTCCAGCTTCTTCCCACGGTCCAAACATGTGCAATTAGTTGGGTTAGGTTAATCGATGATTGTAAATTGCCCTGTGACAGACTGATCTGTCCAGGGTGCTGACTAAGTTGAGGAATGAGACGTGTGAATATGTTCTTTTCTACTCTCTGCGCTAGTGTCTCCTGAAGGAAAGTGTCCAGCTGCAGGAGCGCTTCAGTCTACTGGAAGTGAAAGGGGACCTGCTAGACTCTGTGTTTGGTCCTGAGAGGTCTGATGGACTGCAGAGCGAACTGAGCACTGCCATGAGGAACAGAGAACTGTTGCATGTTCAGCTGCAGCAGAGGAAGAGCAGGCTGCAGGTATGAGCACGTTGGCGCCATCCACTGAGCTTTGTTTTGTCTTAGGTTTGAGTGTCAGTCTATTCAAAGCTTCACCGTATCCCTCAGGCTTAAAGAAAAGACCAAGACAAACTGTTTGGACTTTTAAACTGATCCTGAAATCATTAACAGGTCATGTTGGACAAGAAATGCATACAGAGAGCGATGAGAAAAGAGGGCGGAGTTGTCCAAGAGAATGTGACTAACAAATCAGTAAATATTTTCAGAGGCTACATAACAATCACGGGTTTGCCTTTGATATCAGAACAATAAGTAACCTGGCAACTGTTTTGTAATTAGTTCGTGTCAGTGAACAGACAAGATCGTCTTGGTGAATGCCCTTCTGTCTCGCTTTGCCCATACCTTATTATCTTATTTACTGCAGGCCTGCAGGATTTACTGCAGTGTAACAACAACGTCACTCATTAGATTTTGTGCGACACATGTGAGCTGTCACAGAAACTGAAATCATCAGATGCATTTACTAAAGTGTGCATAAATGCATTCAAGTACATGCAGGATCTGGTGTAATTATCAAAGTAGATACTTTGCTGTAAAAGCACTTGCTGTGGTGTCAAATCTTGGACGTAGCACTCAATGTTGTGTTCATACTATGGCTCATTCAATAAATTGTGTGTGTGTGTGGACGGGTATTAACATCTTCATGGGGACCAAAACTTGGTAGTTGAGGGGACAAACAGTCCCCACCACTTTAAAGGCATTTTTGAGACTCAAAATGTGGTTTTAGTGTCAGGTTAGGTTATGGTTGGGTGAATGAAATGAAAACTCATCTTCAAAGAATGAAGACGTCTGATTGACAAAATACTGTTAGACTTTAAGTTGACTGAAGAATGGTGCCGTTCCCATCCCTGAAAAGAGAAGTGTTTCAATATGCAGCCCAGGGATGAATGATAAGAACACACTTAACGACATTTTCCTTCTCACAGGCATTCATTTCAAGAACCAAGGACTTCACTGACACCTACAAGCTGATGTGCTCAAAGTTGTCCAGTATCAAAGGCAGACTGATGACAGCTGATGGGCTACAGCCTGACATTCTCGCCAAAAAAAGCCAGTCAGACCAGTTTGGGGTGAGTTTTTTCACCCGCCAGACTTTGGGTTAGACATTTATTAACCAGCCACATATAATTTGACTCGTCTTCTATGACTATGTCTTTCTAAGCTGACAAAACAGCTGTGACCTGTATGGGCATGGACAGCACTTGTCTGTATCCTGTTTGGCACAATGGATCTGGCCCGTCGCACTCTCAGTGCTGGTTTGAAGGCCGGGTCCAAAGCCATGTCGCTCTTTGCATTCCTCAAAACTTTTCTCATCATTGCTGGTACATAGTTGGACTGTGTTTGTCCAAGTATGCTGAAAGTTAGACTGTATTGTATTTGCTTATTTAGTTTCAGTTCACATGAAGAGTCATACTGTAAAGTTTAAACCCTTTAAATATGAGTTAGTCAATGTCAGGAAACGCTGTCTCTTCATTTTATTTCAGTCAGTTGCCTCATTTGAGTTTTTCAGTCCCGTGAGGTTCCAAAAATCACTCATCTGACGCAACATTTCACTCTGAAAATGAAATTCTTATCATTGCTCTCAATTCCAAAAGTAAATTAAATATGTCGTTCACTGCTTTTAATGCCTTTCTCTGTTCAAGTAGTCTGTTTCTCTCGGGAAGGTGAAGTAACGCGTGTGTGGTGGCCATGAAAAAGGCTATTGATATTCTCCAAATACTGAGAAAGGAGCTTTAATGCTTCCTTTAGCAGAGGGTTTATAGAAGGAGAAGAGATGACTCTATGAGGAGATGATGAATGATTGGTAGAGAAGATCATCCAAATATAAATGTTAATCATAGCTGCATTTTTCATTGCATGCCAGAACTTACTGATGGCCTGTTAAAGGCACACGTTAACTATGAACTGTAACAAAATGTGCTTCTTGTCAAATTGTTGCCTTCCATGAAGAACGTGGCTTCATACAAGCTGTAAACCAAAGTTCTGATGTATTTAATCAATTAAAGTGTGCTTATGCTTCTGTATAATTTAGGTTTCAGGTCGTTGTATTGTCAGCCTGTTGGGTCTGTGTTTCCACAAGCCCCGCTAATTCTAGACACTTATTCATCATGAAGAAAACAAGACAGTCGATCGATCGATTATTTGCGCAAGGGAGGCCTCGTCTGTGTCCACCACGAAAATGACCTCCAGATCTGACCTCCTCCTGCTGCCTTTTATTGAGAGACAGTTCACACAAAACACGTCAGAACAAAGCCACGCCCCCTTGGTTCTAAGACAAAGCATTGTATGTATGTGTGAACTTCTGTATCTAAGTAAGTGTGTGTGTCAGACCTCCTGCTGACCAAAGGGTCGTAAACGCAGGAAGCTTACATCAAAAGTTAAAACAATGTACAAATGGTAAACATAAAAATGACAAACATTTAACAATTCACTCTAACACAGCCTTTAGAATTATTTAATTTATTTATTTATTTTTATTAGTAGTAGTAATAGTAGTATTACTGTTGTTTTTTTACTTGGGGTCAGCTGGCAGGAAAATGTATATTAGCCTAATGCTGCACTAATTAACATACAAATGCAGCTAGTTTATTTCAGTTATAAGCAGCATTCTGCCAAGAGCAGCGCACATGATCAGCTCAGAAACTAGCCGACCTGATAAAGGAGTAATGTGTGTATCACAATGATGCAGCAGCTGGTTTTCAGTTTGTGTTTTTCTCTGAAAACATGAACAATTCAGATAAATAAAAGGCAGGAGAAACAGTGTTAACATAACTGTTGTGATAGAAACTGCTGTGGACTGATGCAGGATTTCTCAGAGGACAGCTGCATTACTACAAATTATTTGATGAAAACCTAACATCTCTGTCTAACAGCTGATCTGTACAATATATATAAGACACTTAATATTATTTACCGTCACTCCTGTGTGTTAATGAAGTGCTGTTATTATGACACGCTGTATTTCAGTTCAGTGAAGCTGTACACTGTTTCATCAAAATCCCAGTGTTACTAAGGTGTCATGATTAGGCTGTGTGGCAGGCAGGAGAGGACCCAAACGCAAACTCACGGGGACACGGGGAATAAACTCAGAAAGCACAGCTTTATTGCTGGAAAGACAGATCACGAGTAACACAAAACTAAACTGGGAAAAACTAAATATAAAGCTCACCAGGAAACACAGGGAGAATCACACACAGCATGAGGGAGACGCAGACATAAATACACAGAGGGTTAATGAGGGAGAGCGGGAGCACACGGGGAACAGGCAGGAGTAAATGCAACACTGACGGGAGACTGTCAAAGTAAAACAGGAAGTACACAGAGGTTCAGACAGGAGGAGAGAGCACGGACATAACGGGAAAACATGGAATAGAACACAAGGAGGGGAAACGAGGGTTCACAGATACACAGAGGGCAACCAAAAAAGGAACATCTTAACTAAACAACCTAGGAACCAAGGCATAAATAAAGAACAAAATACACGAAAACTAAGAATACTGGGCCAACATGACCCAGGACCACGACATAAGGAGAATGATGCAGTGCTCGTCTCTCAGGGCGAGGACTGTAATGAAGCAACAGTTTCCATATGTTAAGCATTCAACATGATGAACCAGGAGACTATGAGGGCAGCTGGATTCTTATAATACATCTTTAAATAATAATTGCATTATTTTATTTGACCAGTTGTTACAAAGGCTGATAAATATTGTTGTGTACTGCTGGAGGGCTTCATGAAAAGGTGATCAGTCTTTTGGTTATCTTGAATGTTTCAAACTGTGAATGTCTGATCTTCCCTTAGTGAAACTGAAGTTCACTTCAGTTGAAGTTTAGATGTGTACAAAATTTTATTTATTTATTTATTTTCATGTGCACACTTGCTTTTGTGTCTCCAGGTCATCCTGAAGGATGTAGAAGACTATGAAGCCCAGATTATGGCACTTGAGACTCTGGTCTCCTCCAGTCAGACCAACAGGATTCAGTTTGAGAAACTCTGTGATGAATGGAAACATCTGCACATTGCAGTCAAGGTGAGGGGACATTCATATAAGAATATCCTGATACTCCCCTGGAACTGGGTACTTTACTTCTGCTGGAGTTAGATTATCTGTGACCCTGAAGTAATATGATCATGTTGAATAACAAGATAAGTACCCACCATGACCTCAACCCTCCAAAACACTTTTATCTTGGCAGCAGGCAAGATTGTTTTTGATTCAAGCCCATGAACAGCAAGTCTCACACATGATTACAGAAGGGAGGGATGGTCTGCAACGTCTCCTTCTCGGGTGACGGAAGAACCAGAAAACGAAATAAGAAAGATGTGCAGAGCTGTAGTAACTACTGAAGGATAAAGTTGATGAGCCATACCATGAAGATGTGATAGAGTTGTTGAAGCTAGATTTAAAAAGGAGAGGTGATGATCAGTGAGCAGCAGTACGGCTTCATGCTGAGAAAGAGAAACACAGATGTGATCTTTGCTTTGACAGTGTTGATGGAGACGTATAAATAAAGTCTGGAGGAGCTTCTTGTCTCTGTGGATCTAGAAAAGGCGCATGATGGGTGTGTGGCGCATGAAGATGTCAGGAGTGGCAGAGAAATATGGGAGAATAGTGAGACAGTGGTGAGGTGTTGTAGGGTGACAGGTCGAAGGTGGGAGTGTTTACATCACTGATCTCAGCGTCTTCTTGCTTGTTATGGTGATGGACAGGATGATGGATGAGGTCATGCAGGAGTCTCTGTGGACCGTGATGTTTGCAGACAGTATTGTGATCTGTAGTCAGAGCAGGGAGAGGGTGAAGGTAACATGGAGAGCTGCTCTGGAGAGGAAAAGCAGTGTTAGGTGTTGTCGTCTATCTGTATGATTTCTCTGACTTTTTGCTCAGCTCAGGAAAAATAAATTATTGTTGGTAATTTTAACATCCATGCAGATACTGAAAATGATAATCTATTATTACAGACACAATTGGCAATGTAAAGGAACCCACCACTTAAATCACACTGTACGTCTGTTCTGGAACATTTGAACATTTCACAGTGTTTCCTCACACTCCTCAGTTTTCTCCCAAAATCCTGTGTTGTCTCATCTGTCTCTAATAGCATTTCATTTTACAATAATGGATTACACAGCAGTGAGAAATACATTTCATCACAGTAGACGTCTTTCTGACAGTCCTGTAACAAAGTTTAAGGATGTAAGTCCTCCACTGTTATTTCCTTCAATACCACGTGCTGACACACCAACTCTATTCACAGAGGTTGGTTATTGTGTTAAGATTTTCTTCTGGCTCCTCTGAAAAAGAGCCTTCAATCAGAAGTACTTGACTTCCTTGTTCAACAAACCTGCACCTTAAAGCAAATAACTCATAAGCTGGAGAGGAAATGGCATCTCACTGATTTCGAAGGTCTTCATTTAGCCTGGAAAAACACTTTGTTGCTCTGTTTAAAAAAAGAAAAGAAAAGAAAAAGCCCCCATAAGGCTAGAACATGTTACTATTCATCACTGATTGGTTTCTCTTCAGCTCTGTAGCCAGGCTGTTGAGCCAAGCGTTGCTTTAACCTTAATTAATGACTTCATTCATTTCTTGAGATTAAAGCTCTAACTATTAGAGGGGAAAAATAATCTCACAAACACAACATTATGTTAGCCGACTAATCTTTGCTGTTGACAACAGCCCATATCCGTATAGACTTACTGGTCGTTTAATCTAACTGTTACATTTTTAATTGATGCCCAGTGCCAGTAAATCATTTTCCTAAATGTTATGCAGTCGCTAGGAACATCCCCACAGCTACAGCTACTTTCCAGACCACTGATATTTATTTAGACTCTTTGTCTCCAGTTGATCTTTCTCAGTTAACTGTTACTGTACTCTGTCCTAACAATCTTAGAAACATGGTGTCTAATCAGATGCTTACTCTGGATGCATTAGCTTAACTTTCACTACTTCTAAGTTCTTGACCAGCATATGTTGTTATAGCAGACGCACTAGTAAGCTGTCTCTGAAACGTGATTCTGTACTGTTCGCTGGTAATAAGGTCAGTCAGAGACGTGGAATAATGTCACAGTGTTGAAGAACTTTATTTACAATGATGTGGTTCTGAAATTAATACAAATAAAAAATAACATAAACGTCTCTTTCACTGGTTCAGCATCTCTCACCAAATTATGCATGGACAGAAACGGATACCACGAAAGGATTATCATAACGACATAACAGGATGAATAAACACAGAATCATAGTCAATTCAGGCTAATTCTCTCATTTGTGACTCGACACCACCCTCAACACAATTGCTCACTCAAATGCCGTTACACTTACACAGGGGTTCTTAGAAAAGCAGGTTCATATGCTAACACAGAAACTACATCAGGGAAAATCTTTGTGAACATTAACTCTCCACAACAACTGAAAACAACTTAGAAATGAGGAGTAGGCTGTGAAGCCAGGCTACTACCTACTTTGCTTCGACAGTAAAGCTGCTGACACACAGCTAACAATAACAGCTGTCCACATGGGTGTATTAAATGCAACTGAAATAAAATATGTTCCCAATGTGACTTACTGTTTCTATGAACGCACACTTGCCAGCATTAGTCCACTTCCGTTCAGATCCATAACTTGCCTGCAGTTGTTGCATCAAGGATGGACTCTGGCTATTGGCCCCTGTGGGAATCATGCTCCTCCCATGCAGGTAACGCATGCCCGGGCAGGAGGACTTTTTAACATATGTTCTTGAATGTATATAAAACAAATATTTAGGACTGCTTTCTTACATTTGCACAATATCTCTAAAATTAGAAATATCCTGTCTCAGAGTGATCCTGCAAAACTAGTTCATGCATTTATTACTTCTAGGCTGGAGTATTGTAATTCAGTATTATTAGGATGTCCTAAAAACTCCACAAAGCCTCCATTTGATCCAAAATGCTGCAGTGAGTACAGACAAAGACTAGAAATTCATAGCACCAAATCACAACAAAAGTCGCCTCAAGGCGCTTCATAGATACAGAGAAAAACCCAACAATCATATGACCCCCTATGAGCAGCACTTTGGCGACAGTGGGAAGGAAAAACTCCCTTTTAACAGGAAGAAACCTCCGGCAGAACCAGGCTCAGGGAGGGGCGGGGCCATCTGCTGTGATTGGTTGGGGTGAGAGAAGGAAGACTAGAAAGAGAGAGCAGATGTCCTTGAATGTCCTGGAATTATCATCTTATCTTGAAGACCTCATAGTTTCCCAGTAGAGCATTTCGGTATCAGACTGCTGGTGTACTTGTTGTTCCTAGAGTATTTAAAAGTAGAATGGGTGGTAGAGCGTTCAGCTTTCAGGCCCCTCTTCTGTCGAACCAGTTCGCAGTTTGGATTCAGGAGACGGACACCCTGTCTTCTTTTAAGATTATGCTTAAAATGTTCCTTTTTGACAAAACTTCTTTCAGGTGACACTGAATCCTTCCTTACTCACACTGCAATAGTTTTAAGCTTCTACGTAGCTACTACTAAGCTACTTTCCATGATGCATGTTTCTTCTTTACTGACCTTTTCTTTTTTATCTTTTTTTTTAATCTTTTCAGCCAGAAGAATCCTGCACTGCATGGACTCTAAGTTGTTTTTCCCTGACAAAGCTTGTCTAACTTGTATTTTTCTTTTATATGCAGGCAAAGGTAGATGAGAGTGACAAAATTGTTGCAGAACACGAGAGGTTCCATGACAGCCTTCTAAACATCGAGAAGTGGCTGATGATCATGAAGCAGAAGCTGATGTCCTTCCACAGCCCAACAGGAGAGTGGAGCATAGAGGGGCGCCGGCATGAAGCTGAGGTCTGTGTGTGTTTGCCAGTTACTGGATGTGCTAAAACAATTAGATAGATAGATAGATAGGTAAGTGAATTGTCCTATCTATCTATCTAACTTTTTAAACGAAAAACAGGAGAAAACTTAATCAACAAAAATGGCTTCTCACACTTACTAGGCTGCTCCAGTGGACAATATATAGAAGGTGAAAAAAACCCCACAATTGCTACTTTACAAATCTATTTACAAGACGCCAGACACACACACAAAAAGGTTGTACTTGGTTATACTTGCAAATCAATGGGCAAAGACACAAACAAATCAAAATCCTTTGTTGGATGGTGGAGGCTAGGAGAGAGGGGGCCAGGTGGCTGTCATTTGGTGGTTAAATACTGGGGGTGTCAGGCCTGACATGGTACACGCCTACTGGCTGAGGAAACTTGTGCAGACATAGAAGACTGCTACAAGTACCTACAGGCTAGAAAGCTGCAAGCACCACGTACCTGCAGAGGGTCAAGCAAGTCCTGAGGAGTCAGCTGAACGGTAAGAACAAGATCTGGGCCATCAACACCTACGCCCTGCCCGTGATCAGGTACCCTGCTGGGATAATAAGCTGGCCAAAGGAGGAGATAGAAGCTACTGACATCAAGACCAGGAAGCTCCTGACCATGCATGGAGGGTTTCACCCCAAGTCCAGCGTCCTGAGGCTGTACGCTAAGCGGAAGGAAGGAGGTTAGGGACTTGTGAGTGTCAGTACCACAGTCCAGGATAAGACAACGAACATCCAAGAATACATTAGGAAGATCCCAAACAACGGGTGCTCAGTACTCAGGCAGCAGAAACCCAAGAAAGAGGAGGAACCATCATGGAAGGACAGGACCCTGCATGGTATGTACCGCCAGCAGATAGAGGAAGGTGGCATCCATAAATCCTACCAGTGGTTGGATAAAGCTGGACTGAAAGACAGCACAGAGGCACTAATCACGGCAGCACAAGAACAAGCGCTAATTACAAGATCCTTAGAGGGTGGAGTCTACAACACCAGATAAGACCCCAGGTGCAGGCTGTGTAAAGACGCCCCTGAGACAATCCAGCACATAACAGCAGGGTGCAAGATGCTAGCAGGCAGGGCATACATGGAACACCATAACCAAGTGAGAAGAAACATCTGTGCCGAGTCCCGAGGTCCAAATGGGAGACGCGCACTAGGGTGGTGGAGAATGACCGAGCTAAGATCCTGTGGGACTTCCAGATACAGACGGACAAACTGGTGACGGCTAACCAACTGGACATAGTGGTAGACAAGCAGAAGAAGACGGCCATAGTGATAAATGTAGCAATACCGAATGACAGCAACATCAGGAAGAAGGAACATAAGAAAAAGCTCAGAGAAGATGTGGAGGGTGGAGGTAACAGTGGTCCCAGTGGTAATGGGAGTGAGTTTCAGCTGCATCCACAAAGGAAGTGATTCACAGCAACCCAACAACCAGATACCATAGAAAGACTGTGGGCTGACAGTAAATGCATCAGAGGGTTACTTGGGCAGCTGGGCACTAGAATGTCCAATTGTTAACGAGCTCTGCTGAAAGAGATGTGCAATGAGGAAATCGCTACCAATGTGGACAAAGCTTTACTCATGAGCAGAGTAGCATTATGGAAGATGGATGGAATACATTGGTATTTTATTTGACTTTGTATCACTGATAAAAATGAGACATGCATCACTGAAGCAAGTGGAATAAAAGAAGATCCTGTGGCTTTAGTGCTAAGACAAAAATATATTTTGTCTAGTTTGTCCACTATGTATAAGTATTTCTTTCCCTTTTTCCACAGAGAGCACTGGGAGAGTTCCCAGAGAAGGAGCTCCAGCTGCAGCAGGTGGATATTCAGGGTCAGGGAGTTTTAAAGAAGACTTCTGAGGAGGGGCAGGTCCATATTCTTGGAGACATGAAGCGCCTAAAAGACTCTTGGTTGGCCCTGTACGAAATGAGTCTGAATCTGCACAGGTACAAGAAAAGCACACAGCAGTTCCTTTTTTCAGCCTAGCTTAGTGTGTGGTACTATCACAGTGTGTGGTACTATCACAGTGTGTGGTACTATCACACAGTGTGTGGTACTATCACACAGTGTGTGGTACTATCACAGTGTGTGGTACTATCACAATACTGCTCCTAGCTTGTTTTCTTTTATCACTCTGGCCTTGTGTCTATACCAGAAGGACACATCTTTGCAGCACTAGTGCTGCTTGAGTCCTTCATAGACACATTTTTTAATTATAAATGTGTTTCAACAAACTCGTCCTATCAACCAGTTCTGCAAGGCTGTTTGCAGAAATGTCTCTAAACCATGCGTTTACCTAAAAGAGACAAAGACAGCATTGTTATTTGTTTGTAACTGATGGCACCAGTGTCTGTAGCTTTTGTTTCTCCGTCTTAGCTGGATGTAGATGTTTACTCAAATATTTGCTGCTTTTTTTTGTTGTGTTTTTTGTTTCTTAATGCTCTAAATGTTTTCAGTGTCTTATATTAGATTTAGTCTCTCTAAACCACGAAAGACCGTCCCCGCTGCATAACTTTTGGGAAAAGGATGGCAAACATTTAGGTTTGGCTCACTCTGACAGATCTGTTTCCTAAATGTTGTTTTTTAATATATATAAAAACAACCAAGAAATCAGGTTTTGTATTTAAAGCCACTGAGGTTTGACATGAAAGTTTCTGTC